CGTCCAGTTTAGGAAGGGTTTTTGGAGGACATTGAACTGACCCAAAACTAAGTACAATCCGGAATCCTCCTCAACCTAGGCCTTAGTAGTACCCCCATTCAATTGGTATTCGTGAATGGGGGGTGGGTATGTTAGTTAGTTTCTTACTCCTATCTTTGTTGGTTTACTTCCGGTTCGTCAGTTTCTGTGTCCGTCTCCGAGTCGGATTCCGGAAGTTGATACAGTTTTTCCGTCTCCTCCCGCATACGGTTTTTGTGGGAGCTGATTTGTTCCCAGCTGGCGAGATCGGTTTGTGAGAATTGGATTGTCTGGGCCAGGGTGCCGTGGAATGTGTAGCAAGATCTACCGACTTTTTTTGACCGGTTGCTATTGTTATGCCTGAAGGATATCTTGTCAGTACGCCCCTGTTCGTGATGTATTTCGATTGCGACGTTAAATATGTCTGATGCTGCTATTATTGTTTCTAAACCCAGCCAGAAGCCGTTTTGTGCGAGGTCCTTTAAGTACGCCTCTGTTTTGCGTTCCCAGTCTTTAATATGCGCGTAGCGGTGGGGATGGTCAAGGATCGCATCCTGTAAGTATGGGCTGTAAGTCTCAATGTGTGTTCGTAAGTGGTTATTTAGTCTTTGTCTTAATGCGTATGTATTTATTGACCCTGTCAGGCTATTATCTAGTTGATGGGCCAAGCTGGCCACTAAGCAATTTCCGTCGGATGGCATTTTAATTATTCCCACCGAATGATTGCTCGTGTTTACTATTCCATGTTTGTTTGGTTTGTGTTTATTATTATTTATGTTTTGGCGTTTATTTATGGTATTAGTCAAGTGTTTATTTGGGGGATGGAGTCTTATCTGCCTTTTCTGTTTTGTTTATGTAATGACTTGTGTGGTCTGTCTAATAGGAATGTTTACTTTCTGGTGCCAGCTGGGAAACTTAAAATTCCTTTTCGAAATATGATCCGTTTTACTAGATTTTTTGGAATAAAATGATTTGTTATTAGACATGCACTGAGAGAACGAAATATTCGTTAATAACGAGGCACGTTAACTATTAACATATCGTTGAGTTGGATATGGCGAAAGAAATATTAATTTGGGTCTAAGAACTGGTTAAGTTGAATTAAAGAAGCTCATAACGTATTAGCAAATGTAGATATATTACACGGAGAGAAATGTATAGTAAATTTTAGATAGTTAAAAAAAATATATTAAAATTTACTTTAAAAAATGTTTAGTTTAACAATATTAAATATTCGTCAGTAAAATATAAAGATTGTAATACGAAATAGTATTTTTTATTATACAATTTTTGTAAAGATTACAACACCAATATTATTAGATCAAAAATGTATAATACGTATTTTAATTTTAAATATATTCGTATAGTAAATTGATTTTACTATCTACAAATAGTAACATTTACTATATGATTTAATTAAATGTATTATACAAAATAATAAAATACACTATTTAGTTTGTTATGGGTTACGTATCTATTATATTTATTTTTAAAATTTACTATCTAATTATAATAAGAATTAAAAACAATTGGTTGAGAATAATAACCTTAAGGTTTAATATACATGGATATTTAAAAATTACTAATTATGCATAGTAACTGGCAATATACAAGATAGTTGTCCCAAATAGTAATATATAATATAGTAAAGGGTATTATAATTATGGTAATCAGTATTATACTTTTCTCTCCGTGTAACTGTTAATATATCGAAATTCCATTTTGTAAAAAACTACGGCAACGTCACATGCTTGCGCATATTGCATTTAAAATTATGTTGACAAATGTTAATTCGTTTTATTTAGGTATATTAACTGTTAATATATCACAGTTCTAAGACAACTTTATCCTTTATTTGTCTGAAACACAGTCACCGGACGATGTTTTAATAATTAGTATATAATTTGTTCACGATTAAGAAATTTTTTTAATAGTTAACAAATATTTTAAAAAAATCGCAACTGTTTTGATTTCTTAATATTAAATATTTCGTTTTCTCAGTGTGCAGTTAGAAAAATTACTTAGCTTGGATATTCGGCTATAATCCTGATGCTCGGTCTTTCACGGTCTGTCCGATGTTTCTGGACCTCCCTGCAGGTACTTGATAGGTTTTGGTTGTGACTATCCCTTCTGACCAGGTGGACCGTTGGCCTTTATTACTTATTCAATTGCACTCTTTTACGGCTTTAATGGGAGATCTCCCACTCTTCACACTTGTTTCACTTTTTTTTGCACTTGTTGCATTCTTTTTGCACTTGTTGCCCTTATCACACTTTCCGCACTTGAATGTTTATTTATTTATTTATTTATTTATTACCGATGACCGATATTTCCGAATACTTTAGTTTGTTTTTGGAACTTTATTATATTTCTCTCGTATACGCTGCTAGGAGAGGTCTCTTTAACCACTTGACACGTCTATCCACTTCGGATGTCCCGACGCAACTGCTTTTAGATTTCCATAATTTTAAAAAAATTTAAATAAATCGTTCATTTAATTAATTTTGAAACATTTTAAGTTGACAAGATAAAATTCAATATTTACACTTTATTTTATTAAATCTCGTGACTAAATTGCCATTTATAAAACTTGATTAATACCTAATAATGTAGTAATCCAGTTTTATGCCATTTTAATAACGAGGAAGGCTTGCGAGCGAGTGTTTAATAAAAAAAGCGACTAGAGAAGTTTATTTCCGAACTAAAATCGGTGTGGCTATTTAAAGCTGCGGTAAAATGTATGTTATTGTTTAATTTTTACGAGCGAGTTTATATACGTATGTAAACGCGGAATTGTTTACTGACCCAATTAATAAATTGGATTGAACTACAATAGAACATGATACACTAGGTACCATCATGCGGGCGGCTTTCCTCTTTGTGAATCATTTATAGTGTGAGCAACATTAAACATTACAAAATACTCCTGTTTTGCAAAAACACATAACTCGGTTAAGAGAATTGGTCAATAAGCCTTAACAAATCATACAATTGTATAGGTACAATCTATCAGAAGACTACTGTCAAAATTTCAGCCATATTTATCGAGTGGTTTACTTTATGGGTCGTTTTCAAAAAACACCCGCCTTTCGCTGTCCGTAAGTTTGAATTCCAATAACTTTGTTAAAAATTATCGGATCTTATTGATTTAAAAACCAAGTGAAAGCCTAACAAGCCCTTAGTAACCTCTTTCAGAAAATGTTTGTTTAGTTATTTCAGAATAATTTTTTTTTAATTTTGAAACTTGTGAAACACACATTTTCGCATGTCCCATTAGTGTTTTATAAAACCTACATACATGTTTTTTTTTAATATTGTATAACCAGAACATTGTGTTGCTTTATAGCAATCCATAACATCCTTAGTTAATAAAGTAAACAATTTATATATAAATTAATTAATTTTAATCTACTTTTTTTAAATTTGACTCATGTCCCAGACATTTTTTCTGTTGCGTTACGTCCGTCGCGTTACCGATAGAATATTAAAAAAAACATATATATGGCAACTTTTTTGTGATTAACAAATGATGTTCGGACGTACACATTACCCAGCTGAATTATATTTATTCAATCAGGTAGAAGATATCGGTTGAAACAGGTGCGGGTAACGCGAATGTAATAATTGTTTGTCCGCTAAAGCTCATTGAGAGTAATTAATGACTGTAATGTTTTATTATTATTTTTTAAATATGGTTTCACAAAACTTTGTCCACTGCGTTACCGAGTCCACTACGTTACCTTATGGAAACGCAATGGAATTTTGGGTAACGCAATATAATTTTTCGACAACAAAGTGGATATTTACCGTCGCTTTTATTAAAAGTAGTTTATGATAAACCAATTTAAAATTATTTGTGATTACAACTCATGATATAGATTACATCCAAGGGAAAATTCCACGCAATATACAAGTACTAAAAGACACCAGCTTATAGTCAAAGAAAAAGGGTGTCTATAATTTAGAAATCTAAGTTGTTATTCTGCAAGTAAGCACCACTACAAGGGATTTTGTTTTAAAATTGAGGAATGAAATAAATAAATAAATAAATTTTATTATTATTTAATTGTTTATACTTCGATTTTTAAAATTAAAATTTTACTGAATACCCTCCTGTTCCATCGAGGCCGTGAACTCATACGAATTGTTTCTGCCCGAACCTTGTCTGCGGCGCAGTCTGCGCATAGTGTTCTGTGCGCTGCGCCGCATACTGAGCCTGCTTTGCGTGTTATTATCATGCGTTATATTAATAGAAAATTGGAAATAATTATTAGCGTTACAATTATTTCAAATGACTTTTAAAATAGAAACCTTTTAAAAGATAAATATCTAAAACCAGACCAAATTTTAAAATTTGCCAGTACATAAAAAGCTATGTATACATATATTATTTATTAAATTATAAAAATTTGTTAAATGCAAAAAAATGATACCATAAAAATTTTTTTTGTTTGCCCAAAATAGACTTTGGGCGTGACACCCAGAAATTTTTTTGCCAGTAGCTTTTCCCGTATAAGGGCCCCTACCAGATTTTTGATACGGGCCCCCTCAAGGCTAGATACGCTACACATATTTGATTTGATTAATAAGTAAGTTTTATTAGGTTTTTATGGCGATTGTACAAGTAAATTAATGTTCTTTTGACGCGGTCGTACAGAAAAGATGGGATCGTTAAAATCTGCTTTCTTTGAACTAAGTAGGCAAGGAAACAACATTTTTAATATTACTATTTCAAATTTTTAATGATGTTTTAGGTTTATATTCTCTTTGGCAAAAATACTTTCGAAAATTTATAGGTGAAAGGACAGTATTTAAGAAATCTTGTAAAACGGTAAATTAAGTAGTTTGGGTTATTGTTCTTTTTTTTTAATACCTACAAAGTTTTTACTATGATTTTAAATTTCGTTCTTGCTATTTTAAACTATACATCTGTTTTTTGTTATTTTTTATTATATCTATAACTTTTAATTTTTTTGTTCCAGACAAAAAAATGGAGGAAATGTACGACGACCTATTAATCGAGCTGGAATGCCCGATATGCACGAACTACATGTCCCCACCGATACGCCAATGCGTGGTGGGGCACAGCGTGTGCGAGACCTGCCGAAAAAAACTGAAAAAATGCGCCCTGTGCCAGGGCCAATTCACCGACGCGCGCAACCTAACCCTGGAGAGCCTGGCGCAAAAAATGCGATACCCCTGCATTCACAAAACATCGGGGTGTCAAAAACGCCTGACGTTCGTCGAGAGGGACAAGCACGAGGAAAGATGCAACCACAAAGGGTTCAGGTGTGCCATGGAGAAATGCAATTGGTCGGGACAGTTGGAGGATCTGAACGCTCATTGGGCCGCCAAAAAGATGACGAGTAAACCTTACACATCAAGCAATCTATGTCACACTAAAATGAAGAACGAGTCGTTTTATGTCAACATGGTAAACGCGTTTGATAAAATGTTTTGGTTTAAGTGTAAATTAATAAATCAAAAACTTTATTGGGCGGTGCAATATATAGGGCCTTCTAGAGAATGCGAAAATTTCTTCTATGAAATAGAAATGTTCAAACAAGGCAGAACAAAAAGGAAAATACTTTTGAGCGATTATTGCCAATCCATAGACATAGAAAATACAGATTTACTTACAAAAGAAACCTGTATATGTATACCCACAGAAACCATAGAACATCTATTGAATGACGACCAAACTTTGGTTTATTATATGAGAATACACCCGGTAAAAAGTGGTAAATTCGAAAATGAAAATACTCAAGGATCTAGCACCACAGAGACTTACAGAGCCAGGGATAAATCTAGTGGTCGTACAAAAGACCAAAATAGAAATAGAAAAATGACTATAGCGCCAAATAAAAAAAATCGACCCAGTAAAGAAGGGTTTGTGGTTATATAATGCACTGATAAAGCGCTTTTTTAATTTTTATTAAAGAATAATTATTTAATTTGGAAAATTTTTGGTGGATTTAATTTTTTTAATTTTTTTTCTTAAATTATTTTTAAAGAGTTTAAGTTTATTTATGGGCTAAAATTTTATGAGCCATTTTTACATTAAAATACCCAAAGTTTGTTTCTAATTTCTTATATATTGTAAGAAATATTTGAAATAACAACAAAGGGCTTTTGTACAATGTTAAAATAAAAATAAAAGGTGAAATATTTTTATATTTTTCCTTAATTAATTATAATCAGAGGTGAGATTTTTATTTTCTTTGAAGTACTATAAATAAAAAAATATTTTTTAAATAATAAAAAAAGAAAATAATTTTTATAATTGTTTAGTTTAATTTAATAATTACTAATAAACCTTGCCACTAATATGTATAACGGTTAAAACAATTATTTAAGTACCTAATGTACCAATTATATTATAATACACACTATTTATATGGATATAGTGAATATTATAGTCCCAACTCTGATTAAAAATTATAAGCAATTTTTATTGTTAAATATACTTAGGTAATACCTAATATAAAATCATATTGTTTATGTATGTATACTTTTATTTAAATATTAATGTTTTTGATAATATAAAAATTAAAATTATCAAAAGCTGTAGATAAAACATTTGAATTAGAAACAATAGAAAATCTAATATAATAAATAATAAATGGTTTAGGTAATAAATATTAGTTTAATATGATAATGTTATTAATACAAATATATGTTAAAGTTAAATTTAAATTGTTTTAAGGGTAAAATATTATTATTGTGTATTATATATTTAACTGTAGTGAAAACATTTGTTTACTTAGTTATGAAACCTAACATTAATAACAATTTATAACTATTAAACAATTTAAACCAATTATTGTTAACATCTACAAGTAGTTTATTAGCTATGATTTTCTATTTTTATCAACATTAAATACTTATAGGTAGTTATAAGTATACTTTTATATGCTTGATAGGGTGTTGCGATATCGTTTTTTTTTTTGATAAAAGATAAACATTTTTTAGATTATTTAGATTGTTCCAAAACAAAAATTTAGCAAAAATCCCATATCCTTATTTCAATTTTAAGAGGTTCTTTGTTGGGTTTAAAAATGTATACTGTTGAAATAACTTACAAATTTTTCTGTTACTTTTCATTATTTCTTCCTTAATTTTTTTCATATAAATTACTGATGATCCTTAAGGAGCAATGAATTCCCTACAAAAACCTCAAATTTGATTTATAAATGTTGGAAATGCAATATCAATCCAAAAAATTCTACTATAATAAAATATTTCAAAGTATTACTAACCTTGTATGGGTTTTTCCTACACTGATAGGTTTACCTATCATAGTTATAAAATTGTGAAAATAAAATCCCTGTTGATTGCCTTTTGTATATTTAGTATTTTATGTTCTGTACTGTACTAAATAATGTACATAATAAAAACGTTATTTATTTAAGACCTAACATTACTTTTTAATGATACAATAAAATTATAGGAAACAATTTTGTAGGAAATTAAATGTACTACAAAATTGCTGTCAATCTTTTTGACCTACCATTAATGGTTTAGTTTCAAGAACTGAAAAACGCTAAATTTAAAAAATATTTTTTTAAAAGTATTTTTCTATTAACATATTTTGAAGAGAACTTAGTCCCAAAAGATATATAAAAATGTCTTCATAAAATGATAAAAAAATCATTTTCATTTGTGGGAAATGGGAAATATGTAAACTTCCTAAAATTAAAATTAAGAATTACTAAATTTTTATTTCAGCATAATCTAAGGAATTTTTAAAACTACCCAGTAAACATACATTATACAAGGTGTTGTCCTGAAACATATTGTATGTTTTTGTACCATTAATATTTTTTTAAATTGTTAGGTCCTATATAGACAATATTAGTATAAGTTTTTATAACTAATAATAAACTAATAAAAAAACCCTTTATATGTTACATAAATTTATAAAATTAAAAGTTTTGTAATAAAATTGCAATTTTGTAAAAATTTACCCACCTTTATGTATGATAATAATATCCTAGGAATAAAGAAAATGTAGGTAGGTAGTGGATATATAAAATATCAATATACAAAAAACTTAATTTAATAAAAAATAGTAAAAATAAAAATCACATTTTCATACCAAAAATTAAAAAAATTCCATCATTTGTTGTACCAATCCACTATAATGACACATGAATTTGGCCACAAAAGCTTCCAAATGAAAAATCTCTTTATTCCCTTGGACACTTCTGTACTGATATGTGGCAGCTTCCTCTACAATATTTGCCCCCACAGAAGAATCACACGGTTTTAATAAATCCTCCAACAAAACTTTAAAAATAATCTCCGATGGTATTCCATTAACAATCAACTCATATAGGTTGTTTCTTACTGATGCTAAAGACTGCATGCTTTGTTCTTTTAAAATAACATTTGCAGTTTTTTGTATGAATATTTCCCAGTCTGGTTTTGGTATACCTTGACGGATGTTATTTACAAAAGAAGCTTCTGCCATTAGTAGAGCCCTCCGAAGATTCCTCTCTGATTTAACAGCAATTTCTTTGGCTAACTCATCAGTTAAATTAACATTTTCAATTGACGCTACGTTTTTTAGTATTTTAATAACTTCCCCTTCAGTTGGGGCAGGAACCCTGACACACAAACATCTGGATCTTATGGCAGGAATAACTCTGGAAATCGAGGTGGCACACAAAATAATTCTGCAGTTTGCAACATATTTTTCCATTGTTCTTCTTAGGGCATGCTGTGCATCTTTACTCAAGTCATCTACGTCAGTTAGTACAATAACTTTGAAGTCCTTCTGAGAACTCATGTTTAACTGGTGTGTTTGAGCCACGTTCTTAATAACATCCATAATAACAACCCTGTCATTGTGCCCCACATCCGACGGATTTATTTCAATGTGATACATACTGCTTAACGCTAGAATCTCTAATTTTTTGTTTGAAGGTGTGGTGAACGACATAGTTTCTTCCTTTAGTTTTTCCACCCCAGGACCGAACATTTCTCGTAGCAAACACATAATTCTTGTCTTCTTACCGGCCCCTAGGGGTCCATACACTAATAGATGTGGAAAATCACCATCCTGCGTGAGATTCTTCAAATCTGTTGCTTGTTCCTTATGGTAATCCAATAACGAAAGGTCTTTTGGTCGATATTTATCAGCCCAAAGCAGATTTGAAGGCATTTTGGTTGATTTTTTTAAATAACTTTGGAACTCGATTAAATGGCGCCAAAATTGACTTTGACAGTTCCCAAATTATAAATTTTTCACATCCAGAGTTGCCAGATTAAATAATTTTTCCCAAAAATGAGGGTACTTTTTCAAATAATAAATCTCGAAATTACAAATTATTCCTATAAAGAGATAATGTACAAAGAATCATTAAATATTAAGTGGTGTCATATTTTTCACGTTTTTTTGATTTCAAGCAAAGATATGAAAATATTTTTAAATTCCTGACCTGGTAACGCTGCATTTAACCAATGGGAATTTGGTTAAGTAACTTGACAGCTGACCTTGACGTATGTGTCAAATGTGAAAAATAAATGCATTTTCTTCGAAATAAACAATAATAAAATGGCTTTAACGAATATTTTGCTGCTGAGCCAAATCGCTGGGCATGTTATCGCTTTTATATTATCGCTATGCGTTGTTGTTCCTATGAGTTTACACCAAAGTGAATTTAGGTGAGTAGAATTAATATGTTATATCTTTGTTGTGATGATTGTATGATTAATTAATTATAGGGGACATTGTTTACTATTTTCCACTGGAATATGGCAGGAAGCTGACGGACAATTAAAAGTAAACTGGGCCTCGCAATGTTATTGTAATTACACTATATTTATTGGGGTTATGTTGGGACTTGTTTCTATATTTCAAATATACAGGTAAGCTATAGCTATATATAAATCTCTGGATAAACACTGCAGGTTATTATTAATCTATGACTGCAATGTTTATAAAATAACAACAATCTTGATGAGTTTTATCTTTGGATATTACTTACTGAATTCACTTTTTTTCTTATTTTTTATTAAATTTATAAATTGTTTTTTTTCATATGCTGTTGCTTAAATTTAATAACAAAATTAGATGATACTAAAACTTGGGACACCATGTATGACCCTTATGAAGCCATTTTCGGCTATTAATACCAAAGGAATAATATTTAAATCAATTTTATGGGTTCAAATCTCAAATATTTTAATTTTACGACCTTAAGATACCCTATAGATAGATAGAAATTTATTTGTCACTATAAAGTTACAAAATCGTCAGGTAAAAAGTGTAATATATAAATGAATGAAACATTCCAATCCAAATTATTGTTTTTGTACTCGTCACCAGATGAATGTTTAGTCAATTTGTTACAATATTGTTTTTATCAGCACATTAAAACTTGTTATTTTATACTTAATTTTATTTAATTGCTTGTATTCCATTAGCAGTAGTAACTGCTAGCATGTCTCCAATATGTTAATTTACTAAATTTGTTATTATGATGAAATTAAAATTTTTGGAACAATCATTTTGATATAAACAATAGGTATTTTAAGACTTCTTCAATTTAACTTTTTTGCGTTTTTCTTTAAAGAGGAATTTTTAAATTTTCACTGAAATCAACTACACTAAAATGCATAGAAAAAGTACTAAAATGTACAGGGTGCACCTTCTATGTATGGGTATCTGTTTTATTTAAAGAGCTACAAGGTCGTTTAAATTACAAATAAGTAATTATAAGTCTTTTAAAATGGAATATAAAATTTGGCGAAAAAAAATCTGCGTTTCTCAGATAATTTGAAAAAACTGAAAACATGTCAAAACCAAAAATCGTTATAACTTCGTTGTTCCTAGGAAATGTTAGGAAAGTTTTAGATGTAATTTACATCATGTAAAGATACACATTTATCTATGTATACATTTTTATCCAATTTTTGATTTTTTCACCCACTAGATTTTAAGATACCACCATCTTTTGTTTTTTCTATGGCTGCCATATTGGAATTTTACATGGTTAGATAGAAAAAAATCCAACAATGTATCAAACTACATAAGTTACGGCAGCCATTATAAAAACAAAACATGATGATGGCAACTCAAAACAGTTGTGAAGAAACCCAGGGTTCAAAAAAATCATGATTTGAAAAAAAGTCAATGATTTTTATTAAAAAAAACAAAAAATGATTTTTTTGATTTATAAGCTTTTTAATAAAGTGTACTATTAAAAAAAATACTAAAAATAACTTGACTAGGTATAATAATATTATATTGGCACTACTTTATAAACAAATAAACCACCATCCAAAACTGCCATATACTCTTTGAATATTCCTTTATTATTTTATTTAGCAAAATAAGCAGTTTTTCTATGCATATGAATTTATTTAAATATTGTCAAGATTTTATTGTGCTTTTAATGCCCTGCTTTAGTTTTAGATCTTATAAGTGTTTTATTAGATTTAAGAAATTTTTTAAAACTGATATATAAATATAAATCATTGATTAAAATAAAAAAATCAATTGATTTAAATCGTGATTTTAATTAAATGATTAAAATAAGGCGAACCCTGGTTAAAACGACATAGTAGGTCTTCAAATAAAAAAAAAATACCTATAGCTACCTACTAGTAGGTAGGAACATCAAAAGAAACTTACTTCAGATATTTACCCAAATATATTTGTAATAATATACAGGGTATAGCAGGCAGGAATCTTGATGATGCTGTTGATACCTAAGCTCAGCGTTTTCCGGAAAAAATTTGATCACATACAGTCAAGCAGTTTACTAAAAACGGGAGTGTTTAATTGAAAAAAAGTGTTCGTCGAGAAAATATTTAATATTGTTATTTTGAGCCCCTACTTTAATTAAAATTAAAAAAATAAATAAATGAATTTAATTTATTTAAAAATAAGAGAATCATATACAGAAGAAAAACGAACATTTTTTCGTAAAATGCATACTTACTAGTTAAATGACTCACCCTGTATATATACAATGTATATGTATATTATACATACATACTATAGTAATAAGTTTTTCCTAATAACACTATATATATACACATAAAAAAATGTTGCTTTCTATTATTTTTATTATTATTATTATTAAATCTCCTACATGTTTTAAGCTAAATTATTAAGAAGTGGTTTATTTTATTTGCTAGAGATCAGACTTCAACCTAAAATTAAAAAAACGGTCCCGAAAAAAATACTCTTGGTGTAGGTAAATTTGCTAAAAATTAAGATAAATCAGCAATAACTTCTTAAATAGCTAGTGAACCGATAATCTGATGGGAAAATTTTAAAAGTATGAATGGTGGAGAATTTATATAGGTACCTTTAATTTGAAATCGTTCATTTAGCATTGAAGATACTTTCAAATAAGTAAAAAACCCTTTTTTCCACTCCTATTATGAAATATGACCGTTCTAATATCACTTTTATCTATGAAATGACATATATTCCGTAAAGTGTTACAGAATGAAATATTTTATCATCTGATGACAGAATAAACACTCGTAGCGACATCTCTGTTTTTAATATCTAACAAATTTTAGACCGATCCAACCTCACTTTCTTCCAATTAAATTATTTGTCTGTGGTATTTTTTGGAAACGTAGAAAAAGTATAGTCTGAAACACGTTTGAAATTGCATATTCCCCTCTCGTGAAACCGTCAAACTCGCCTTCGGCTCGTGTGACAAACTTTTCACTCGAGCGGAATATGCCGTATTCCAAACTTGTTACAGAATATACTATTCCATTACGTAAAATATGAAAAATTGTTCTACTTTCATATAACAATAATGTAAATTTTACTTAGGAATTTACTTACTATTGTAATTACAGTTATAAACTTAATATTTCAGATATGCCCTATTTTTGCACAAAGGAACTGATAGCTCGTTTTTGTCAGCATTTTTGGATGTAGTTTCTGGTATCATACTATGTGGAATGACTATTATAGCCGCAATCATGATAACTTTAGGATTTAAAGCTTGGTGTGAGAATATGACTGAAAGATTTCCTTCGTAAGTACTTTCAATTAAACAACCATTTTGTCAGCAAGCAGGTAATTTTATTTCACCGTTTTAGCTGCGATATGGCTGCAGGTCAAGAGATAGACAAACAAGACGGCATAAACACGAAAAACTTCTACATTGAACTCGGCACCGCACAATTTGGCGTATGGGGTTCTTACACCATCTGGGTGGGATTGTCCGTATGCGCCCTCCTAAAACTGTGTCGTTACCATCAGCTGGAAAACATCAGGGTGTCGATGTACATAGAACGCCAGAGGTTGATAAACGAAAACAACGAATCGCCCAGCAGTTCCTTGGGGCGCGAGTCGAATGCCACGGCCAGCACTGCGAACGCAAAGTGATTATTCACAGGCGTTTTCAAGTATCCATATCTATTATTGTACGCTATTATTCATATATCTTTGTTAATCCATCATACAGTTTATCAACTTGTCGGGTCGAATTGGGATGAGATATGAAGATTTCCGGGGGTAGAAGTAGACTGGAATGGTAACATAAGTAAGTATAAAACATTTTGACCAAATATTGGCTAAATTTTTGTGTAGAATTTTTCGGAACCTGTATATTGCTGTGATAACTTTAACTATTAAATTAATAGGAATATAATACCTACTAAAACCCATATTTTAATATACGTATAGGTATTAATAATTAATTCTGCTTGTATAAGAGCCAAATTTAGTTCTGATTTATTTTATATTTTAAGCTTATTTTATGTAGGTTATTTATTTTATTGATTGATAGTTTTATTTTAGAATGTATATCAAGTTATTAACCATTTTGTATAAGTTTTTTATGACTACTTATTTAGAATGCTGATCACTATCAATTTAATTATAAAGTGTAGCTTTAAAAAATAAAAAAAAGTTAAAAGTAACTCTTTAAACATTATTTATTTTATCCTACTCATGAGTATTCAGGTCTTTTGTTGAATCAAATTAAATTACAGTAATTTATCATTTGAGATATCACTAGTATACAAGGTTAAAGAAAGTGTAAAGAATTAAAAAAATGTCGTTCAATGACAAAAAAATCCTGAAATAGCATAAAATCGCGTTAAAGCAAAAAAGGAATAAAAAATATATCGTGAAAAAGCAAAAAATGTTGAAAAAATCGTATTAAATACGCCCTTAAAAAACTGATTATTTTAAAATCTTTACTCAGATCAGACAATTGTTTTGCAATTTTACGATATTTTTTAGACTTGAAACACAATTTGCTTTTCCCGATATTTTTCGACTTAATACCTACGATTTTTTTGCAATTTCACGACATTTTTTCAATTCTTTTTCGACTATGTACTTACGATTTTTGAATTTGCAATTTTACGTTAATTTTTCGAAATTTTTGCATTTCTTGCAGTTTTTGTACCACATGACAATAGAATGGCAAAAACTGAAAAAATGGACAGTTTTACACATTTAGGTGACGATTTTTTAGATTCTTTTTTCAAGATTGTTTGCTATTTTAAGACATTTTGACGATTTTTTTCACGGTAGTACGACTTTTTCAAGAATTGTCTTAAATACTTGGGGTACTCTGGTGGAAATAATTCTACAACATTTAACGCGAAAGCTACAACTTTCTACGCGACTTTGCTACAACATTTAATGATTTTCTACTACTTTCTACAAGACACTACTACATTATTGTAATATAACGTAGAAAATTGTTCAAAGTTGTAGCTTTTGATACAATTTTCTACAAGATATTACGCGGATTGGGACATTATTGTTATATTTATTTAAAGCTTGGTTTGAGAATATGACTGAAAGATTTCCTTCGTAAGTACTTTTAATTAAACAACCATTTTGTCAGCAAGCAGACAATTTTATTTCACCGTTTTAGCTGCGATATGGCTGCAGGTCAAGAGATAGACAAACAAGACGGCATAAACACGAAAAACTTCTACATTGAACTCGGCACCGCACAATTTGGCGTATGGGGTTCTTACACCATCTGGGTGGGATTGTCCGTATGCGCCCTCCTAAAACTGTGTCGTTACCATCAGCTGGAAAACATCAGGGTGTCGATGTACATAGAACGCCAGCGGTTGATAAACGAAAACAACGAATCGCCCAGCAGTTCCTTGGGGCGCGAGTCGAATGCAACGGCCAGCACTGCGAAAGCAGAGTGATTATTCACTGGCGTTTTCAAGTATCCATATCTATTATTGTACGCTATTATTCATGTATCTTTGTTAATCCATTGTACAGTTTATCAACTTGACGGGTCGAATTGGGATGAGATATGAAGATTTCCGGGGGTAGAAGTAGACTGGAATGGTAACATAGGTAAGTATAAAACATTTTGACCAAATATTGGCTAAATTTTTGTGTAGAATTTTTCGGAACCTGTATATTGCTGTGATAACTTTAACTATTAAATTAATAGAAATATAATACCTACTAAAACCCAAATTTTAATATATAGGTATTAATAATTAATTCTGCTTGTATAAGAGCCAAATTTAATTCTGATTTATTTTATATTTTAAGCTTATTTTATGTAGGTTATTTATTTTGTATAAGTTTTTTTATGACTACTTATTTAGAATGCTGATCAATATCAATTTAATTATAAAGTGTAGCTTTAAAAAAATAAAGAAAAGTTAAAAGTAACTCTTTAAACATTATTTATTTTATCCTACTCATGAGTATTCAGGCCTTTTGTTGAATCAACTTAAATTACAGTAATTTATCATTTGTATGATATCACTAGTATACAAGGTTAAAGAAAGTGTAAAGTCTAAAGAATTAAAAAATGTTGTTCAATGGCATAAAAATCCTGAAATAGCATAAAATCGCGTTAAAGCAAAAAAAGGAATAAAAAATATATCGTGAAAAAGCAAAAAATGTTGAAAAAATCGTATTAAATACGCCCTTAAAAAACTGATTATTTTAAAATCTTTACTCAGATCAGACATTAACACATTTGTTTTGCAATTTTACGATATTTTTTAGACTTGAAACACAATTTGCTTTTTCCCGATATTTTCCGAATTAATACCTACGATTTTTTTGCAATTTCACGACATTTTTTCAATTCTTTTTCGACTATGTACTTACGATTTTTGAATTTGCAATTTTACGTTAATTTTTCGAAATTTTTGCATTTCTTGCAGTTTTTGTACCAAATGACAATAGAATGGCAAAAACTGAAAAAATGGACAGTTTTACACATTTAGGTGACGATTTTTTAAATTCTTTTTTCAAGATTGTTTGCTATTTTAAGAGATTTTGACGATTTTTTTCACGGTAGTACGACTTTTTCAAGAATTGTCTTAAATACTTGGGGTACCCTGGTGGAAATAATTCTACAACATTTAACGCGAAAGCTACAACTTTCTACGCGACTTTGCTACAACATTTGATGATTTTCTACTACTTTCTACAAGACACTACTACATTATTGTAATATAACGTAGAAAATTGTTCAAAGTTGTAGCTTTTGATACAATTTTCTACAAGATATTACGCGGATTGGGACATTATTGTTATATTTATTTAAAGCTTGGTGTGAGAATATGACTGAAAGATTTCCTTCGTAAGTACTTTTAATTAAACAACCATTTTGTCAGCAAGCAGGCAATTTTATTTCACCGTTTTAGCTGCGATATGGCAGCAGGCCAAGAGATAGACAAACAAGACTGCATAAACACGAAAAACTTCTACATTGAACTCGGCACCGCACAATTTGGCGTATGGGGTTCTTACACCATCTGGGTGGGATTGTCCGTATGCGCCCTCCTAAAACTGTGTCGTTACCATCAGCTGGAAAACATCAGGGTGTCGATGTACATAGAACGCCAGCGGTTGATAAACGAAAACAACGAATCGCCAAGCAGTTCCTTGGGGCGCGAGTCGAATGCCACGGCCAGCACTGCGAAAGCAGAGTGATTATTCACTGGCGTTTTCAAGTATCCATATCTATTATTGTACGCTATTATTCATGTATCTTTGTTAATCCATCGTACAGTTTATCAACTTGTCGGGTCGAATTGGGATGAGATATGAAGATTTCCGGGGGTAGAAGTAGACTGGAATGGTAACGTAAGTAAGTATAAAACATTTTGACCAAATATTGGCTAAATTTTTGTGTAGAATTTTTCGGAACCTGTATATTGCTGTGATAACTTTAACTATTAAATTAATAGGAATATAATACCTACTAAAAACCAAATTTTAATATATATGTAGGTATTAATAATTAATTCTGCTTGTATAAGAGCCAAATTTAGTTCTGATTTATTTTATATTTTAAGCTTATTTTATGTAGGTAGGTTATTTATTTTATTGATCGATAGTTTTATTTTAGAATGTATATCAAGTTATTAACCATTTTGTATAAGTTTTTATGACTACTTATTTAGAATGCTGATCACTATCAATTTAATTATAAAGTGTAGCTTTAAAAAAATAAAGAAAAGTTAAAAGTAACTCTTTAAACATTATTTATTTTATCCTACTCATGAGTATTCAGGTCTTTTGTTGAATCAAATTAAATTACAGTAATTTATCATTTGAGATATCACTAGTATACAAGGTTAAAGAAAGTGTAAAGAATTTAAAAAAATGTTGTTCAATGGCAAAAAAATCATGAAATAGCATAAAATCGCGTTAAAGTAAAAAATAAATAAAAAATATATCGTGAAAGAGCAAAAAATGTAGAAAAAATCGTATTAAATACGCCCTTATAAAACCGATTATTTTAAAATCTTTACTCAGATAAGACATTAACACATTTTTTTTGCAATTTTACGATATTTTTTAGACTTGAAACACAATTTAATTTTTCCCGACATTTTTCGACTTAATACCTACGATTTTGTTTGCAATTTCACGAATTTTTTTTATTCTTTTTGACATTTTTACAATTTCACGACATTTTTTCAATTCTTTTTCGACTTATGTATGTACCTACGATTTTTGAATTTGCAATTTTACGTTATTTTTTCGATTCTTTTTAGACTTCAACACAGCTTTTTCAACATTTTTTGTAATTTTACATTTCGTCAATTTCTTAAAATTTTTGCATTTCTTGCACTTTTTGTACCAAATGACAATAAAATGGCAAAAACTGAAAAAATTGACAGTTTTACACATTTAGGTGACGATTTTTTAGATTCTTTTTTCAAGATTGTTTGCTATTTTAAGACATTTTGACGATTTTTTTTACGGTAGTACGACTTTTTCAAGAATTGTCTTAAATACTTGGGGTACCCTGGTGGAAATAATTTTACAACATTTAACGCGAAATCTACAACTTTCTACGCGACTTTGCTACAACATTTAATGATTTTCTACTACTTTCTACAAGACACTACTAGGTATATTATTGTAATACAACGTAGAAAATTGTTCAAAGTTGTAGCTTTTGCGGATTGGGACATTATTGTTATATTTCGTAGAAAGTTGTAGCTTACCAGTAGCTATTTTAGTTTCCCTAATAATTTTAAGTAAATTAGCCAAGATCCTTGGTTATTTTGTAAACTAGCCGCTAATTTAGTTGAAAATACATTTTCAATTAAAATACCTGACAGTTTGTCTAGTTTATAAACTATCCAGCTAGTTTATAAACTAAACAAGTTTGCACATTAGCCGTAACATATATACTACTGGAGTAGATAAAGCATGGTATTACACTCGAAATTATGCGCATTATTCACTCGGATAACAAATTAATTAACAAATTATCTACATAATGAAAAAAATAACTAACTACTTGTTTATGAACATTTATTAAAAATAATATGTATGTTTTTACTAAATAAATATATTATTATTATAGTAGCCCTTGCGGCCTTGAGTTCACGGTTTATTCACCGTGAATTCACTGTGAAATCACCGTGAATTAACCGTGAAATCACCGTGAATTTATCGCAAAAACAGCGTGAGTTCACCGTTTAATTACCGTCTACAAATGTCACAAATGGACGGTATATTCACTGCACATAAACGGCGTATTCACGGTGAATTCACCGTAAACTCAAGGCCGCAAGGGAGAACAGTTTTAAAATGGGTATTAGATTTTTAATGAATGAAAATCAGAGTTTATTGTTTTCTAAATCTGCTCATGCGTTGTCCTGTGAACATTTAAATACTTCAAATGACTAAAGCTGCAAGCACAAACCTCGCACTTAAAAGCACTTTTGTTGTGACAATCTTGATGCCTTTTCAAATTCGAAGACAACCGGAAACTTTTTTCGCATACTTTACACTTGTAAGGCTTCTCGCCCGTGTGCGTGTAGACGTGTATTTTAAGCTGCTGCGCCCTCTTAAACCTCTTCGAACAAATCGTACAGGAAAACGGCAGATCGTCGTTGTGGAAAATTTTGTGCACTTTAAGGGAGGAATGTTGTCTGAAGGTTTTCCCGCATATTTCGCACGTGAAAGGGCGTCTATTGAAGTGTATGTTCATGTGCTCGGTTAGCGATGATTTTGAGGCGAATTTTTTTGAGCATTCACTACAATTAAAACGCTTATAACCGAAGTGGAAGCATTGGATGTGTACTTTGAGATATGTGGAAAGTCTGAAGTTTTTACCGCATATATGGCAAAAATAACTCCTTTCCCCTGTGTGTATGGTTCTATGCCTCATCAGGTGGTAACTCCTTTTAAAGCAATGTCCGCAAAAATCACACTTATAGTAAGCTTCTTGTCCGTCCGTAATTTTGCATTTATTTAACGTTTCCACGTTCAGAGATCTGGTCGATGGATTAAAGTCGACTTTGACATTTGTATGTTGGCTTTTTGTATGGGTTTCCATATCAAATTTTCTCGTGAAACCTTTGTTACAAATCTCACAAAAAAAATTAAACCCAATCTCATTTCTTTTACGCCTTACTCGTTGAAATTTGATGTTATGCGAGTCAAGCATATGGTTTTTAAGCAATGTTTTCTGCTTAAATTTACTATTACATAATTTACATATAATATTTTGTAAATCGACGTTGTCAAAGTATATCTTATTCTTATCATTCTCACTATTTTCATCAGTCTCTGTTTTCTCTATTACATCATTTTTGTTGTGACAACTTAGCCCAAAATCTTCATTTGTGTGATTTTTTGCGTTATGTAATTTTAAATCATATTTTCTTTTGTATCCTTTCTTGCAAATATCACAGTAGTAATTACAGGTGGTTTCGTAATTTTCATGACATAATTTTATGTGTTTTTTCAGTAAATACTCGTGTTCGAAATTTTCTTGACAAAACTTGCAAAATAAGTTTTTTGTTCGGTTTTCATCGTGGTTACTCTCACCGCTTATTGATCTAAAAATAAAGAAAATAAAATGATTTTGTAAAATAAATTTTATTAGTAAAAATGAATTAAGTAAACATTTTACAATAAAAACAAGTAGGAGAAGAACCTTTGGAATGAAGTAAATAGACCTTAGGAATTAAATTTAAAATTTAATTTTCACATTATTTCAATAATTGCATTATTTCAATAATCAAAATATCAAAAAAAAAAAAATTACGTGAAAAAAATTTTTTCACGTTCTTTTTTTATTTTTGTTTTCATATGCTTAATAAGAACCAAATGATGGTTCATTATTTTCCAATTTTTTTGTCAGTAGTAAAAAACTGACAAAATAATCAATGTTATGAAATTTTTAGTGATCAATAATTTGACATTTTTGAAAATTTTTATATATTTTACCACTAAATTGATAAATGAATGAGTTGTAGTAAACTTTACCGTCCACTATAACTTTATCTTCGTTCACCAACTCTTGATGGATTTTGTTGTGAGTTCTTTTTTCACGCATTTGTATTTTAATTTGTTCCTTCATGGTTTTGGCCTTTTTCTATGGTTTTGGCTGTTTCATCCTTACCATGGCACTTTTTAACGTGATTTAAAATCTCGATTTTAGTTAAATAAGCCACGGAACGTTGATAACTGTACTCGTATACAGGCGTATTTTCCTCATTATTTAAACCGACAATTTCTTTTTTATCGATGGCTATTAAATTACTATTAAAATCGTTGCTATTGGTGCCTTCGTCGTCCAATAATTCTGCATTCTTCAAGACGAAACTGTCAATCAAGGACGAGTCAAAACTTTTATCACTTAATTTAAGTTGTTTTTCCGGCGAATTATCTGCGTCTTCCTCGGTAATTTATCCTACTATTTTTTAAATTTGTGCTACTGTGCGACTATGGCTCGAATAGCCAAACACCCGCGCCGTTTCCGATCCATCTTTCGTAATGTCATGTTTTGGTTTATAAAAAATCAAATAAAAGAAAAGATTTAAAGATAATATAAAACTTTATTACACATTCATATTGCCAATTTATCTACAGTATAATGCAATTTAAAAATTTAAATTAAAGTAAATATAATATAATTACACAGTACGACAACATTTTTTCCCTCCCATGAAAAATGTATAGATTTTGAAAATATACTTAAAAAAATGATACCCGTGTCTCGGCGTTTTTTCAGATCACGTCATTTTTTTTAGTGCGATCCCATAACATGTTATCCACAGTATTAGACACATAATATAACAGCTTCAATAACAGTTAGACTATGGTTTTTGAAAAAAATATTTACTGAATAAATTGACGATCATTAAAGATACATTTTAAAATTATTTTAATTTTATACAGGTTGTTGCATATTTACGAAATATATTAGGAGGTAATTTTTAGGTTGTGATACCACTATAGATTCTAAAGCAAAGTATAATTGTCAAACTAAAAGACCAATATTTTTTTCTAACATATATTATATATAAGAGAAATACATATGTGTTTTTTATTAAAAAAAAATAAAATTATTATTAGTATAATTTTTGTATTATATAAATACATATAATATTTGAATAAAAAAAATGATTTATAATAAAATAGTGAATTAAATATCTGTATAATAATCTGTTAAAATAATAATGGCTGTATAAAAAATTTAAATGACGTGATTTCATGAAACGGTGCGACACGTATAAGTTTTTTAACCTCTATTTTAAAAATCTGTAAAAATATTTCATGGGAGGGAAATTGTGTTTAACTGTTATATATTATATCAAATAAACTCTAATCAGTTTTGATCTTAAGCGTATCCTCTTCTGCAGCCAGCTGCGGATGGTTCGCCTTATTGTGATTTCTCAAGTACCTCTTTTGCCTGAAACTCATCCCGCACACCCCGCACGTAAAAGGCTTGTAATCCGAGTGAATCAAAGTGTGCCTTTTCAGCTCGTACTTGATCCTAAAACACCGTCCGCACACTTGACACGCGTAGGGCTTTTCTCCCGTGTGACGCGTTACGTGGATCAGCAGAGGCGGCTTGGATCTGAAACCCTGGTTGCAGTAGCTGCACTTGTAGGGGAACGTGTCGTTGTGGGAGCGATTGTGCACGAACAGCGAAGCTTTCTGCTTGAACGCCTTCCCGCACAAATCGCAGATGTACGGCCGTTCGTTCGTGTGGATTCTGCGGTGCTCCTCGACGTTCCGTTTCGTCGCGAACATCCTTCCGCATAAATCGCACGGGAAGTTCTTTATTTTCGCGTGAGTCTCCTTGAGATGCCTCACCAGACCCTGCGACACCCTGAATTGTTTCCCGCACAGGTCGCATACGTAGGGTCTCTCCCCGCTATGTATCCGCATGTGCCACACGTACGTGTATGGAGAATGCAAACTTTTACCGCACTCTTTACCGTCCACGATAACTTTAGCATCGTTCACCAACTCTTGATCGATTTTGTTGTGAGTTCTTTTTTCACGCATTTGTATTTTAATTTGTTCCTTTGTGGTTTCGGCTGTTTTATCTTTACCATGGCACTCTTTAACGTGATTTGAAATCTTGGTTTCAGTTAAATAAGCCACGGAACATACTTGACAACTGTACTCGTACACAGCCGTATTTTCCTCATTATTTTAACCGACAACTTCTTTTTTATCAATGGCTATTAAATTACTATCAAAATTGTTGCTATTGGTGCTTTCGTCGCCAATAATTCTGCGTTCTTCAAGACGAAACTGTCAATCAAGGACGAGTCAAAACTGTTATCACTTAATTTAAGTTGTTTTTCCGGCGAATTATCTGCGTCTTCCTCGGTAATTTATCCTACCATTTTTTAAATTTGTGCTACTGTGCGAATTTGGCTCAATTAGTCAAACACGCGCGCCGTTTCCGATCCATCTTTCGTAATGTCATGTTTTGGTTTATAAAAAATCAAATAAAAGAAAAGATTTAAAGATAATATAAAACTTTATTACACAATTCATATTGCCAATTTATCTACAGGATAATGCAATTTAAAAATTTAAATTAAATTGAATATAATATAATTACACAGTACGACAACATTTTTTCCCTCCCATGAAAAATGTATAGATTTTGAAAATATACTTAAAAAAATGATACCCGTGTCTCGGCGTTTTTTCAGATCACGTCATTTTTTTTAGTGCGATCCAATAACATGTTATCCACAGAATTTGACACATAATATAACAGCTTCAATAACAGTTAGACTATGGTTTTAAAAAAAAATATTTACTGAATAAATGAACAATCATTAAAGATACATTTTAAAATTATTTTAATTTCATAGAGGTTGTTGCACATTTACGAAATATATTAGATGTTTATTAGGCTGTGATACCACCATAGATTCTAAAGCAAATTGTCAAACTAAAAGACCAAGATTTTTTCCAACATATATTGAATATAAGAAAAATACAAATCTGTTTTTTATTAAAAAAAATTTTTTTAATTTTAAATAGAAATTATTTTTTTTAATTAAAAAAAAATAAAATCATTATTTTTTTTAGTATAATTTTTGTATTATATAAATACATACAATATTTGAAGAAGAAAAAAATGATTTATAATAAAATAGAGAATTAAATATCTGTATAATAATCTGTTACAAATTTTCATGGGAGGGAAATTGTGTTGAACTGTGTTATATATTATATTATATATTATATCAAATACACTCTAATCAGTTTTGATCTTAAGCGTATCCTCTTCTGCAGCCAGCTGCGGATGGTTCGCCTTGTTGTGATTTCTCAAGTACCTTTTTTGCCTGAAACTCATCCCGCACACCCCGCACGTAAAAGGCTTGTAATCCGAGTGAATCAAAGTGTGCCTTTTCAGCTCGTACTTGATCCTAAAACACCGTCCGCACACTTGACACGCGTAGGGCTTCTCGCCCGTGTGACGCGTCACGTGGATGAGCAGAGGCGGCTTGGATCTGAAACCCTGGTTGCAGTAGCTGCACTTGTAGGGGAACGTGTCGTTGTGGGAGCGATTGTGCACGAACAGCGAAGCTTTCTGCTTGAAAGCCTTCCCGCACAAATCGCAGATGTACGGCCGCTCGTTCGTGTGGATTCTGCGGTGCTCTTCGACGTTCCGTTTCGTCGCGAACATCCTTCCGCACAAATCGCACGGGAAGTTCTTTATTTTCGCGTGAGTCTCCTTGAGATGCCTCACCAGACCCTGCGACACCCTGAATTGTTTCCCGCACAGGTCGCATACGTAGGGCCTCTCTCCGCTATGTATCCGCATGTGCCACACGTACGTGTATGGAGAATGCAAACTTTTACCGCACTCTTTACAGTTGTAGTAAACTTTACCGTCCACGATAACTTTAGCATCGTTCACCAACTCTTGATCGATTTTGTTGTGAGTTCTTTTTTCACGCATTTGTATTTTAATTTGTTCCTTTGTGGTTTCGGCTGTTTCATCCTTGCCATGGCACTCTTTAACGTGATTTAAAATCTCGGTTTCAGTTAAATAAGCCACGGAACATACTTGGCAACTGTACTCGTACACAGCCGTATTTTCCTCATTATTTAAACCGACAATTTCTTTTTTATCGATGGCTATTAAATTACTATTAAAATCTTTGCTATTGGTGCCTTCGTCGTCCAATAATTCTGCGTTCTTCAAGACGAAACTGTCAATCAAGGACGAGTCAAAACTGTTAATAATTATCACTTAATTTAAGTAGTTTTTCCGGCGAATTATCTGCGTCTTCCTCGGTAATTAATCCTACTATTTTTTAAATTTGTGCTACTGTGCGACTTTGGCTCAAATAGACAAACACGCGCGCCGTTTCCGATCCATCTTTCGTAATGTCATGTTTTGGTTTATAAAAAATCAAATAAAAGAAAAGATTTAAAGATAATATAAAACTTTATTACACAATTCATATTGCCAATTTATGTACGGGATAATGCAATTTAAAAATTTAAATTAAAGTGAATATAATATAATTACAGAGTACGACAACATTTTTTCCCTCCCATGAAAAATGTA